AGTGCCAAAATCTGTTAACTACATATTTTTAAAATCAAAAATGTTACTTGTATTTTTATAAACAGTTATTGATGTAAGTAACTAATGAAGTTAAGAAACATCTATTTCACCATATATAATAACCTTTTGTTTCTAAAGTCCTCCATCAATCTAACTAATCACATATTCGGATCAGACACGACTATCGTCATCCTAAACTTTTTTTATGAGAATCTCAATTATTTTGTTGATAGTTGTCCACTATCCATTGAAACTTTTAATTTAATCTGTTAACATTGAAGTGTTTATGCCCGGGTGAGCGCGAAAAGCGGGCGGTTCTGTACCTCAGTCGAAACAATTACATGACAGGCGATCCAGTGCGGGAAGTTTTTTCATCTCGAGTTGCCAACTCGGGAGTGGAACCGCGTTTAATTCCAGCACGCATTGTCAACGGCGCTCCGGAATTAATGATGGCGACTTCAGGGCTGCGACTGATTGCAGCTGGATTTTTGGGAAATTCGCAAGTGTTGCGATGTGGTTAATCGAACGAATGCGACCGCTCAAATGGGAGTCCGTCAATTATTTCGGTAGTGGACATCGCACTCTTATTTTGGATTTGTTTTCGACTCTATTTACCAGAAAGGTACTGAAAATCGGTTAAATTCAATCTATTTAAACTGCTAAGATCGTTCTGCCTACTTCCAAAGGTTGCTGTCCACATTGTTCTGCTTGAATTGTAAGACCTAAATGCTAATGTGGTGAAAGAAATAAGGTATTGAGTATTAAAAATGACGAAAAAAAAACAGTTCATTTTCACCATTTTTTTACAGATTGTATCCCAATGATGTAGGAAGTATGTACCTGGGACGTTTTACTAATGGCGAACTCTATAAATAAAACGATTTTATTATCATCCTTGTATGTGCAGCATGGTTAACCCAACATTCTCGCTTATTTCTAGCAACAGCTAGGAAATATTAGAAACTATAGATAGGTACCGTTCTATTGATCGTATCAATTAACCAACCGGTCAATCTGAAAATCATTGAGGGAGCTTTTGTTCAGTCCACTGACGTCTTATGGCTGAAAAATTATGATGTTTGGATCAGAACCTCATTGTCAAATTGAAAGTCATCGCCTAAGTATAATAAAACGTACTTATCCCTGGTCCCCCCAACCCTAAACTGAAGTAATAATGTTCCGGCGAGTTGGCTCTGCGCTGCGGACTACTTCGCCCACCTGAGAAATTACACCAAGTTTTATTACTTGCGAAGTGCGCGGGAAAAATACGCCATCTTTGAATTAAGCGCGGCGATTAACAGCTGCTGTTTGTGTGAACAGTTTTAATTCGAACAATTTCAGCTTTATTTGTAAGCGAGAACATGATTCGGTTTTCCATTTTGTTATTTTGACGCAGTATGTAAACCTTTTCAAAGATAAGTACCTAAATGCTTTGTTGTTGTCAATTCTTTGAGATTTGAATAAAAGGCTCTCTAAAAAACCAAAAAGACACACAGCACATGACTCAGAGCACATGACTGGTTCTGCCTTACTGTAGGTACGTTATGGAGAAGGGACTAAAACATCAAAATAACTTCGTCATTTTCCCAACGCCACAAAATCTACATCACACCTCAATGTTGTCACCAATTTTATCAAAGAGGCACTGTGTAGCAAACATCTTGTGCACTCACAGCCCCCCAGACAACTGCTTTGTATACGGCTGTAAACTGGAACGCTGAAGCCTTACCCCGGGGACCCCGTTGGAACCCGGCGCGAATTTAAAAAGACCAAAATTAAGAGTGCGACTAAATTTTTAACAACTAAGTTATGGCGAGATAAAGTCTTGAGTTCAACAAATTATGAGCCGGTGAGGGAATATAACTCATTTTCACTTTATATCGTAGTTAAAGAGTTAATAAAATGTTCTCGCTATGCCGGGGTCGCGTTTGGTGGCATGTGGGAAATGGTTAATTTTACTGCACAATTAGTGTTTTAAATCTCTTTTATATTTTTTCTCATTATTTAAATTTTAAAGATTGATAGTTAGATTCTTTTAGTGTTACAAATTGTAGGTAAGCTAAATTTCACTAGCACCACGTTGGGCGCCAATTTAAGATTTTACTTGTCACCTAACGTGATCGTAACGTACGCGTTCCTCCGTATATGCAGAATTGCGTCTATAGTTTCCTTGACTGTAGCAGATATTTTTTCACACACCCTTCCTAGAAAAATACTCCACATATCTATCCTGGAACTCAATTCCAAAATATCGCAAAGAAAACAAACGGTCGCCAGTCACTTATCGGAGGATCCACATTTCCTCATACTCCCTAAACAGGTCCCGCGGGACGTATTACTGACGCGATCAAATAATGCTTTACGATTCGTAGCCCGAGCACCGGGATAGGCGATGACAATTACCTACCGAAGATGCGCGGGACGATGATATACGGTGCTGGATGAAGCAATAAATGTAAAAAAGGGCGCTCTTTAGCGCCCTTTTTGACAAGCTCTCAGCATAATATTTTAATAGCATTCATTTTTGTCAAGGAGAATTCGAGTCGAAGATGCTGATTTTAATCTTTAGACTTCCATTTTTATGGTATGGTAAGGACCTTGAGTGTGCAATTCACCTACGCCTGAATTTAGAATTGGCGCCCAACATGGGGGCTAAAAAATTCAATGGGACTAGAATGCGAGTAGATTTTAAATTTCACAGGTTTCCCAATAACATTCGCTTCTAGTTTTATTTCTCTTTGGCCCAATATCTTGCGACAGTGCCGCCGAATTTCCCCCGAGCGCTATCCACAACAAGCCACAAGAAGAATAACCGACTGAATGCAAAATGAAAATTATCATACAAATTCCCTTTCTTATATGAACCGAGGTATTACTGTCGCGTTGTAAGTATGCAAAAATATGGAAGAGAACTCCTTTGCCTTTCAGATGTTAACGCGAAGATACGCGCGGCGATATTGGGTACGTATTTCGTACGCGTAAATTTCGAGTGGTCTAATTTGCATTTGTTATGTAAATAATTTGTGGGCGGGATCCTTGGGTAGCTGAGCCGGTTTTTTCGTGTCTCTATGGTTTTAATAATCTTCCTCGCGCAATAAAACAGCTGACGGACGCGGTGTCTTTTCAGGGCGTGATAAAGTCCGATATTCCGTTACATAATTTACGTCTCAGCTAGTCTAAATGGGAAAGGACAGAGTAGGTAGGTATGAAGTTCATTTAAAAATTTTCTTATTTAAGAAAACGTGACTGTGGTTTTTAGATTTGTTACTTTATTCTGTTAAATTTTAGTCAGCTCTTATAGCAGGTAAGTAAATTACATGTAAGGTAAAAAAAAATTTCCATAGTAGTATAGGACGTCCACTGCTGAACATAGGCCTCCCAATGACTTCCACATCGCACGGTTGGTAGCGGCCTGCATACTATGGCTGAAATGATGATGATCATGATGAATTTTTTTAGGTATCTGCTCTGTTATTAGCAGTGAGTGTTTAACTTGTATGAATGAGTATTGAGTATTGATTGAGCCATTTGAAAGAAAGAAAGAAAAAGTATTTATTCGATGCAAGTACAAAATAAAATAACAAATAGTTATAATAAAACCAAACAGTAAGGTACATTCACCAAAATGGCATCAGCTCAGTATAAGCCGTGACGGCAGAGAGCTCGTCACGACCACTGGTATTTTGCGGATGCCAGTTGAGCAAAAAGGGCGCAGCCCGCCTTTGAACAATGGTTTACAAATAAGTGATTTTAAAGATTGTTTACTCTCTATTAAAATTGACAAGAGTAGGTATTTGTGTACGTTTCCTCTATCCTCTTTTTAATCAATATAAAATTTTCAACACAAAATCGCACGGCCGCCAGCCGGACGCCATTAATCTCTTGTGCGCACGAATGTTGAAAGTTAAAAATTGAATAAATCAACTGCAAAATATAAAATCTGATGCGCCGATAGCATCGGCCGTCGCCATTTTCACGGCTGACCGCGCGCGCGCAACGAGCGGGAAACGTGATCTGAGCGGGGCTTGACGCGATTGCAACGACCCACTTGGCAATACTTGGCGTAAAGCAGCTTTTACACTAGAGTGCTATACTACGCTGCATGAGTTTGATAGGACATTATGTACCTAATGTTTTTTCTTTTTGTGATACTGCACATACATATAGACATACACATAGTACATATACATATCGCAGCAAATTTTAAATACGTACGTATAACCCACTAGGTTAAAACAGGTTAAACTTTACTGGGGGCCTGTAGGGCCGGGAGGGACTGTGGTAGTGAAGAAGGCTTTGTCCGGAATCCCACAGTTCCTTCCCACTTAAGGCGAATGACGGAGTACCGGGGTCTTTTTAGTGGGTATGCCTTTGTCCTTCTGACTTGGTGAGCCCTACATAACCTACCCTGTCTCCGCAGGATAGGTATGCAATTCAATGCATTTTTTCCCCGAAAAAAAGAGGTTAAACTTTACTATTAGGTATGTGTTTATGGTATGGATGCGTGTTATGATGCATACCTATCTATGAATTCATAGCTCATAATAATTGTCTTGTCGCTGCAACACTTATTTTAGCACGTATTAGTAGCTTAGCTTTCATATCTTCATAGCATTTTAGCTGCATAGATCTTTGGTACGAGTAGAAGAGCAGCTTAATAAAAAAAAAACTAAACTAAGTTTAATTTTCCCAGGAATTAGTAAAGATCACTCGCCTTCGTGATTTACAAGAACTATACTATACCCAAAAATTACGGAAAGGTTCAGCAGAAAAAGAAACGCCATAATAAAGTTAAATGTTTATTCACTTTCAACGAAAATAAAAGATTTATAATGTACTTATATTAGTTGTACTGAATCAAAGTTTATTGCTACATATTTTAAAGGACATTCATTAAAAAGTTATTCAGACACTGGATAAGAACTTATTCTATACAATTAAATGCAATAGATAATAATATTTATATTAGACGGAATTAGTCCCGTTTCACATTATACGAATTATAGATCATACAAAAATATTTAGAATCAATTCATTGGAAATTTATTTTCTTTTATACTATCCTAATCAATTGCTAGTGGAATTATTTAAAGTAAGTATACTGGAAATAACTTTGGTCTTGTATTAGAAACTAAGATTTCACTTATCAAGTATAAAGCATACTATTACATAAATGTTATCACATACAAATTATTGCCAATTCAAAATGTTAAGTCGAGCGAATTCAGTTAAGATTACATTTAAACTTACAATTAGAGATTCTACAAATATGGCAGACGATTTAAAAATAAATACAAAATAATGTATCTAAAAGCAATACAAATAAATGCGTCGAAATACGTAACATTATTAAACATAGATAAAAGACTAAAGACCATAGGTAAGCTGCGAACGATCTAAGTATTAAGGTATCTACCCACTACACCAATATGGCCATGAAAGTATCATTGAAAATTGTTGATATTTTTAATTTAAATTTAAATCCTTAACAATTCGGTCAGTTGACGTCATTATTATACAATAACGTCACAGACCTAGGTAATTTAAGCAGAGAATAGTTGTATGATATGATACGATGTAGTGAGCAAATACCTCAATAATTTAAGTTGCCAATTTCTATACCTCTTATGTTTATTTATGGTACGGATAATTTTTAAGTAACATCGAATTCAATAAAATTATAAAACAGACTAAAAATAAATGAGACAAAAATATTATTTCGACATGTCTTAAGAAATAAACTGTAATAAACATATTTCGCAATGTTCCAATCTGTTTTATATTTAATTCTCTCTTTCCATGATTTTTCCTTATTACAGAAAATTACAGTCCAAATATCAATTCACTGGCTCTTATAAAGCTGCATTCACACTACTAGGACGTGTCGCGTCTTTATACGAGTAAAGAAAATTAGATTTTAACATAACATTTGCACTAAGACAACTAACTTAGTAGTCAGTATGGAAGCTCATACAAAGTACATACATAATAAGCCGTGGGGGTATTTCATAAGGAAGGCTATATTTTTAGTTTATGATGTATATTTTTCTCTACAGACTTCTAGCTGATGCTATTGAATAGTATAGTAAGTACTTATTTAGGATTATGTAATTATTTATCTCGCATATTTTTTTTCCTCGATCTGTTGGATTTCTGGCAGTTATGCCTGTTTTCACCATCAATCCCTAATTTTTAAGTGACCCCTATGGTAACACTTATCATGAATTTTGCTGTAAAATGGGTCACTTAAAAATTAGGGATTGATGGTGAAAACGGGCATTATTCACTTTACTCCATCTGAATTAACCCACTCCAAAAAAGTTCAATATAAACCACTGTTAATATTTGATGGTGAAAACGGGCATTATTCACTTTACTCCATCTGAATTAACCTACTCCAAAAAGTTCAATATAAACCACTGTTAATATTGATATTTATGTAAACGCGACACGCCTCACCAGTGCGGACCCTCCTTCTCAGAACTCATCATGCCTAGCGAAGGCTTCCCCAAAGTCCGTGGCCTGAGACCCCACGAATAAGTCGTACTTATCCAAGACCTCTTCTTTGGTGAGTCGCTCGTCGGCGTCGGCGTCGGCCTCGAAGATAAGATGGCGCGCCTCGGCCTCCGCGTGGTCGAATTCGGGCGGAGCGATCCATTCTTTCACTTCGGACGCGTCCATGTAGCCGTCTTTGTTGCTGTCTCTGTGAAGTAAATAAGATTGTTGAGTAGTTTGTTTTAGGCATGGAAATGATTGCGATTTTTCATTCATTTTCATTATATGAAATGATGATTCTTTTTCATATGATTTCACATGCGAAATTTCACAGGCAATGATTTTTATTCGCAGTGTTTTAATGTAGCTCTTTCATATAACGTGCTACTTTTAATTAAGTATGAATTATGATGAACGATTGCTAATTAGCTAAAATATGAAATGTAACAATATCTGTTTCATTTTATGTCACACAACAAAAAACAAACAGTTTCACAGAACAGTATGTATGCAACAATCAATAACCGCGCGACTCAGTGGCGGATTTACCAATAGGCCAAGTAGGCCAGTGCCTAGGGCGGCAGATTTAGAGGGGCGGCAAATTTAGCTATTTTTTTTACAGAAAAAAATAATATAATTATACGTATACACAATCCATATAAAATAATAAACAAAATTGTACTACGCGCATTTGGCAAAAGTAACGTCAAAATTTGGCGCATTTTATAAGGATTCCAAAATAGTACATATGTTACGGTCAAAGTGATAAATGTGAAAATTATGAATAATCGCCGGTTATTATGAATAATTACCGCATGATTTGGTAAATGTGATTAATATGAGGTCATTTAAGTGTGTATAAAACTAAATAGGCGGCTTAGGGGTGGCCCAAGGGCCACCCCCGCCGCACCTTAACCTATTTTTCACTTTAAATCAAAACAGTATGTTATAGGCATCATGGAAAAGTAATATTATGCAAGAAACATTCCAAACTCATTATGCCAAATTATATTAATATATGATATCAAAACGTTCAAAAGTTTGGCTGTACACGAGCACGTACACAAGATGTTGTTCTCTTTTATGAAATTTGTTAGTACTAAGGTTGAATTATTAAATAATCACTGTTAAATGTGATTAATTTATCACTTTCACCGCGACTGTCGGGAATTATTCATAATAACCGGTTATTATTAATAATTTTCAATTTATCACATTAACCGTAACACATATAACACTTGGTAAAATCTTGGCTTCTCCACCTCACTTAAGCTGGAAACTTGAATTTTGGGCACATTAGAATAATATTTTTTAACCAAGGTAGATAAAGTTAAAAACGGGATTATTTCCAATAAACAAAAATTGTCGAAAATTGCAGCAATAATTTACCAAGACGTGTTATACCATTTTGGAATCCTTACTAAATGCGCCAAATTATGACGTTACTTGCCAAAGTCGCGTAGTACAAAATTTATCAGTACAGACAGTTTAAACTAGGCAAAATTTTTATTTTGATATTTTTTTTTTTGGAAATAATGTATTTTTTTCATCCAAGCTGGAGCAGCTGGTTTTGTAACTTGATCACAATTTAGAGAAGCATTATTCAGGATTACAAAACAAACAAATTTTTTGGAAAAAGTGAGGATTTGTGGCAAAAGGAGTAAAAAGACCGTCACCGGGAGTAGATTTTTTTGATTTTTTTTAAATGCCTATTATTTTGAATAATGCCACATAGATTTTTTTTTATATTTTCTGATAACCAGCACAACTTGCCTCAACACCCAGTTCCAGCTTGATGTTGATTTACGGGACACCTGTATACTTAGGTACTTATGTGATCATGAATTTTAAAATATTCCAATAGGCCAGTAGAATTAAACACAAAAATGAATTAAATCGGAAATAATTCCTACTAAAGATTTTAGTGCTTTAATGGCTTCATTAGTTGCCCATAAAGACTCTCCTAGGTTTTTGACTTCGACGGAGTTGTGCTTAAGTGGTGGGGGCCCCCGAAAGGGGCGCTTTTTCGGTTTTCCGGTTATACCGCGTAAAGGACTTACCCTATCGAAAAGTGGTCTTCCTGACGGTTCAAGGGCATTAAATCTTGCATTAAATAAGACCAAATTCATATGTTTAGAACAAACCGTTCTCGTGCAAATGTTCGGCAAAGTAGAAAATATGTGTATAATTAATGACCCTCTCCACGTCCAATGGCTCGTTACCCGCAGGCTTCCAAGTCTTGAAAAGGAGCGCCTCAACCAGTGTAACCCTATCAAGGCTTACGAGCTTGATGCGCCTATCCTTGTTCGTCCCAGCCGTTCCTTAACTGCGGTTGCTGCACCTCTTCCTGGCACTCACCTGAACGACTGTGTTACCTACGGTGGCTGCCCCTCTTCCTTGTATCCTCCTGCACGACTACGTTGCCTAGCCGTATGCCTGGTCTAAGGTTCGACGCCAAAAATCAAAAGCTTAATGCTTTATCTCTTTTGTGCATAGAGTCAGAACTTATGAAAAAGATTTCATACGACGATAAATTAATGATTTTGCAAATTTAAAATCTCGCAAGAAAATAATGTAAAACTTATTTGATCTCATTGTCTGTCACCATTAACTGTATTGTTAACATGTTATATTTTAATAGAAATTGTTTGTATTGTTTTTAAACTGTTAAGTGCAATAAAAATATTTAACAAATAACAATGTTTGGGTACTTCTCATTTACACTCAAATTTGATGGTCACACAATAATAGTTCATAAACGGTATAAGTTAGAACAATAACTTTGAAATCAGGTGATAACATATCTATTTAGCTACATACAAAATAAATTTTATCGTAATAGAAGCAAAAATAATACGAAAACATCACATGAAACTAGGGTTTCTGATTTCTCGACCTATTTTTTTTCTCGAGTTTCGAGAATTCTTGAGGCCAAAGTCTCGAGTTTTCTCGGGTCTCGAGTTTTTTAATGAAAACTGCTGAAATCGGTTGAATTTTAATAAAAACACAGGTTTCTTTTATCTAATATACCTACTTTTATGCACAACAATCAATATTAGAATTTAGTACCACTTATTTTGGTAAGGAAATAAACAAAAAATAAAATCTTCTTTTATAATTAATATTTACTTATAATCATAACAAAAGTCTTAAAGTCGCGTGCACTTTAAGGATAAATAACAATAAAAATCTGGAGCTACAATTGAATCACTTGTTTTTTAAAGAACACAAGTCCAAATAGCAGAATTACGATAGATAAATAAATAAATTTTCAATTTTTTTTAGACTAGTCGATACCACGCTTCCACGCAATCTATGCACATGTCGTGGCAGCTTTTAATTAAGGCTACACTATAAACACGTATTGTTTTCAATGTTTTTTTCCAGTTAATTGTGTATGTCTTGTTAGCTGTCCTTAAATAAATAGATTTTTTTATGAACAAAAAAAACTTGAATTAACTTTACGAGGAGGCACGAGTACCTAACCTAACGTCTGTTAGGTAAGATAACTGTCTAGTTAACAAATTTTTCAGTCAGATTAAACATACATAATAAATATAGCATACTCGTTGTTGGTGAACATTATTATGTACTTAGTTTCGAATGAGATCATGACTTGCAAATCAAATCAGTTAAAAAAGGAAAGAATAGGCCAGTCTAAAAGCAACGTTGACCTATTAAATAATAAAAAACTTACTTTTGTCTAAGAAAATCGGCTTTCAAGAATACTAAAGCTTCAAAATCGAAACTCGAGAATTCTCGAGCTCCGGTAATTTTTTTCTCGTCTCGAATGAAGCCAAATTTCTCGAGTTTTCTCGAGTTCGAGAAAGCTCGAGCAGAAACCCTACATGAAACGATAAAAAACGGGGTCATTTTTCGCGTTCTCATCGTGTCACACCTTCGGTTGCAATGAAACATTTGGTTATTGCATTCACAATTTTCATTCAATTTATGTGTAGAATATACTAAAATCATCGTAATTAAATATACTTTCCACACAATAGTCAAAAAAATATCTTCTTATAATTATTTCGNCTAGACTCACTATTTGACTGATTTACTGAGAATACACTCTTCACATCAAGCGCTACAATTTTTGTTTACAAAATGTTGAAATAAGTTAAAAATAAAATTTGCCACGAAGGTGACGATGAGAACCGTGGCGATGAGAAATAGCCGTTTACTGACCACACATTATTTTGTCTGTATTCATATTATAGTGTAGGTATTTTTAAGTCATGCCTTTCCCCACCTTATGATTAGTACAATGCTGCTGTTTTTAGGTCAACATTAAACTCTTCAGTACAAAGCGGGATGCAATAATAATCTAGTAACTGACAAAAATATCATTAAGTTCACAATCATACTAATAACGGGCTTAAACTAACGTATTGAATTTCAAAAGTCAGTAGGTAGGGGCGGCAAAAATTGAATGGCCTACTAGCGGCAAATTTGTAAATCCGCCACTGGCGCGACTAGTGAAAAATCATTAATTTCATCTGTCTGCTATCTAATGAAATCATACGAACCACGACAAGGAAATCTAAACCTTATATTTTCGCTGCAATTTTCGCACTGTTAATCATGGGATATTCTAGAACTTTAACCCTTATCTCGAGGTGGTGATGTCTTTGGTTCGGCTAAACAAAGCACGATCTACCTTTTTTTTTACTTTTTATCCAGCCTATTAGGGACAAAGGATTTTTAGATGACGAATAATAATGTAACACGGCCACAGTGCTAACTATCCATTTCCGTTTTTGCTCATCAAATGGTGATTCTTTGCGATAGAACGAGACGACATGACCGGCAATGGCCAGTTAACACTGTTGCCGATAGTACCTTTAGTTTTAACGCTATGATTGAAATTGCAATCCCACTTAAGTATTTCTAAGCATGCCGTAGCTTGGTAAAACCATTAATATTGCAATTTCAACTGTTAAAATTATGAGATAGATTATTATTCATCACCTAAAAATCCCTTGTCTTGTCGTCCTGATAATATACCCAGGGACTGGGTACATTATCAGGACTTAGTACTTATTACGTACTAATATGTACATATAAAATCTAAATCACCTGTAGCCACTGAATTGCTCTCTCTCCTGTTTAACCCAGTCGGGTTCTTCTTCATTGTCGCCGTCCTCAGTCTTGTACAGGTCGCCTATGTACTCCTCTAGCGACACTTTGCCGTCCTGAAACATTATAATAATAAAATTTACTTACTTTACTCATTATAATGATAAATTGTGTATTATTACTGGTACATGTGACGCCAAACGTTAGTTGAGCGGCAATTGATGACTGATTAGTACTGACGGGAGTACAAGGATGGCTACCGTAATTGAGCTACTTCACTAGTTGGCGCCACTAGTGAGTGACAGGACCTTACTCTATGATGGCGCCATTCTGGTAAGTGGAAATGCGAGTCTTCTATGGCTAATATCGGAAGGCCTGCATCCATCAATGGACGTCCGTCCGACGTTCCGTTTTATCGTGTACGTTTTTTTTCGTCGATGGCATGTAGTTGTATGAGCGACTTCACACATGACACAGTATTCTGTATACAGTAATACATACATCAAAAACAAAAAAAAACGTACACGATAAAACGGAACAGTAAAACGGAGACATGTGTGAACCGGCCGTTAGATGACAAATGTATGACTTTATCGTGCGAAAGCGATAAAATGCCTCGATAAAGGTTATCGTGGAGCTTATACCATGTCGGCTGATAATGTTCTTCTGATTAATTTCGTTGCGGATCCAATGGATCCAATGCACAGTTTATCTTTCCCTCGGGACAAATTTGACCTTTACTGGTTGGTTTATTGGTACTGTATCTACAGTTGGTTTATTGTTACTGTAGATCCTGGCTACAGGAGTTACAGCGGTGGGAACGAGAGGTGATAATAGTTCCATTGATGATGATGAATGTGTGAACTTACGCGGTCCTTGTCGACGTCCTCCATGGTCTCGAGTACGACGATGTCGCGCATGCCGCCATGCTCCTCTGGATGTAGAAAGGCCGCGAATTCCGTGCGGTTTAGAGCGTCATCTTGGTTCGCGTCTGCGGGTGTGTAAGAAATTATAATAATGACTTTATTGAATACTGTCTTCTAGAACTAGCTTACATCCTAACAGCTACAAGATATCAACATGTACAAACATACAATTCTCTTAATGTCACGCACTTATTAACTACCTTTTTCGGCACGCGTGCGGATCTGGTCCGCATGGGGCTGGCTGCACGCATTTCATTATTTCATTAATGTTTTTCCTATCCGCGTTTGTGTAGCCTACGCATTCACGTCACAGGAAAAAGGCACTTAAGCACATGTGTGCGACGTGCACATAAAAATAATGGCAACTACTTTATGTAAAGGATCTAAATGAGGGGGAGCACTCACCGTCTTATGCTGGATATCTTCCAAATTGGACGGATTTGGATTGTCAACTGTCAAATTTTAATATGTTTTTGGCCAAAATATCTGCGGTTTTTGATGTTTTTACATTTTTATATTGTTTATAAGACTTTTAAACAATATTAAAGTGTAAATGCATCGAACATTTTGGAAATATAATCTAAAACTGAATTCTATTTGACAGTTGTAATCCGGATTTGGACAAGGATTGAATATAGGAACCGGGCGTTAGCCACTAGCGAATGATCTACAGTGGCGCCAACTGGTGAGAGTAAATACGATAGCTCTCACTCACCTTCAAGCATCAGATTTTACGAGATTACGATCTTCTTGAACATTTGACAGCTTGCCTAAATCAAGGTTAATTATCAACTCACCAGCATAATGCCACCTCCTGCGGTCTCGCTTGAGGAGGCTAGAGTACGTGAAGCCTTCGCCATTGGGCGACTGCAGCTCTTTGGCGTCCATCTCATCCATAAACCCGTATACATTCTTCCTGTATGTCTAAAAGCAAATGTATTCTGTAAGACATGGAGTTCAAAATACATTGGATCCAGTGGACTTACTGGTCATTCATCACTTTACTTCCAATCCTTTAATCTACGTAAGGGCCTACGCTGAGGGTCGCCACACACGGGCCACCGGCCACAACCACAAAACGCCGCCGCCAAACGGCGTATTTCCTGTAGTTTCATACATTTTATATGGACTCGCCGCATACGGTTGACGCCGGTAGCCGCCACACACTACAAAACGCAGCTTCTCGCTTCTTGTGGCCGGCTCCGGGCTCCACCGGTGGCTGTGGTCGGTGGCCCATTTGCGCCGAGCCTTAAACTTGCGCACGGAGCGTGAGAAACCCATCGTACGCGTCCGCGCCACATTATGCTACTCATACTATTTTACGATACTGACACGTGTGCAGGCGCCTACGCGAGTTTTAGCGTAGTTACATTAAAAAGGACTGACCTAAAAAGATTGAATACACATTCAAATAAATTAGTAATGATCACAATGCAGCCAGCAAGTGAACTAAATTAGAGGCGTCGTAAATTGGTAATTGTGGGTGGTGATATTTAAATTGATGAGGTATCAACAGCAGCATTAAACATATTGCAAATAAATAAGCAGTAGGTAGTAACAGTATAAGGTAGTCTCATCTCAGGCCTCTCCTATGTATGTAGGGTTGCCAGGTCCAAAAACACAAAAGCCGGACTATGTGCTTCATTTGGCCGGACATTTTACCCTAAAAGCCGGACGGAGGGGGGGGGGGGGGCGGGGGGGCAATTAGTGGGCTCACGAGTGAGTACTATCATCATCGGTTGCCTAACGTCCTGATGCGTGCGTGCCTTATTCTGTGGCTCGACTTTCGCCTGGCGCGGCAGCCAAATAAAAAGCCTAACAAAAGCCGGACAGGCCGGACATCGGTTATTTTGGCCGGACACGCAATCAAAAAGCCTAACTATGTCCGGCTTTATCCGGACGCCTGGCAACCCTATATGTATGTACTTTGATTAAGAAGTTTAAAACTCTCAATGACTTACCTCCCACGGCACAACTTCATCATTATTAGGATTGTGCTGCCGCCAGTGTCTTTCCACATCCTCATCAATGTACCTCTTCTGTGTATACCGGATCCAATCCTTCAACTCGACCAGGGTCACAAAGCCATCATTGTCTGAATCAATTCGGTCAACGATGATTCTAGAAAGAAATATCGCACGTTCATAATCAAACTGTCACTATACAAAAAAGTCGATTTTTCAGGAAAACCATTTGAAATACTCAAATTTTAAAACCTTTGCAAAATGAGCAAAATGTTCTTAAATGTTTTGTTTTTTGTTAAATACCAGTAGTGGCTTGTTCGCCTTTTACGGGAATATAAATATCTTTCAAAATATCATAATGGTTTATTTAATATTTATTTTTTTCCCTAAAAATAGTGTCACTTTTCCACTAAAATTGAGACAGTGACAGTTTTCAATTAAAAACATCTTAATGTTGTATTGTTAATTCCGGTAGAAATGTCACTATTTTCATATAAATTTAACGATGAAAGATAAAAAAATGATTATTATTAAATAAAACTAACATAGAAAAATCTGTAATTTTAATGAACTTAAAACTTAATAATTTGGATTAAGTGGTACCAATGGTAACAGTAATAAATGTAAATTCTCGATTAGAAAAAAATACGTTACACACATGAAATTACTATAAAATTACATCACATAAATCAACTTCTTAGAAAATAAGGTACTCTTTTGTTCAGGCAGCCTTTAAACAACAATAACTTGATGACCTCGATGAACTTGACGAACTAGATAGTGATTTTTCATGGGGAAAAAGGCTCAGAGAAGTAGGTTTAAATTCTGGATCATTATCCAGCGGCCATTACCTTTGCGAGCAATGTGCCCCGCCCACTGCCACTTGATTTTAGCAATTTTGCGGGCTATGTCGGTCACTTTAGTTCTCCTGTGGATCTCCTCATATCTGAAACTAACTGAGCATCGCACGCTCCATCACCTTTTGGGTGACCTCTCAGATCTATAAAATATCACTTGAGGCACTGCGGTATTTCGGACGTGAGAATATCACGAAGCTTCCCGAATGCTGCCCAGCCGAGTTGGATTGACGATTGACCTCTTTCTCGAAGTTGGACCTACGTAACTGGACTGTTTGTCCCAGGTATACATAAATTGTCAACAAACTCTACTTACGCCATCGAGCATTATACCTAGATATTCCACAGTCTCAGCCATGATTACGACATCGTCCGCAAATCGAAGGTGGATGATGTACCCGTTGATATTTATGTTGAATCCGCTCCAGTCTAGAAGCTTGAAAACATCTTCCAGGACGGTGTTGAACAGTATCGGAGATATGACGTCTCCCTGTCTCACCCCTTGCTGCAACTGGATGAGTTTCGAGTCCTGATTCTGGAGACGAACCGACATTGTGGCGTTTTCGTACAAGCCTTTCGATGTATCTATAGTCAATTTGGCACCGTTGGAGAGACTGTAGCACTGCTCAGACCTCGATCGAATCCAAGGCTTTTTCATAGTCCACAAACGCTAGACAAAGTAGTAATTACCTTGATAATTTCTTTGATTTTACTAGTGTTTGGATTGACTGGTGGCATTTTTGTTAGATGTTAAAAAAATTACAACTACTTAATCACTTAAAAATATTTTTTGTTATTTTAATATTACACAATTTGGATACTGTATCTTGTGTTGATAGCCCAATAAAATAAATAAATAAACACAATATTCTACGAATTGATGGAACAATCTTCTTAAAAATTTGTTTTAAGGCGTTTTACTTTATTGCGACTTATCTTATGGTTTGGAGTAAAAGCGTCTTTATGCTTAAAATGACGTTTTTCATCACAGAGTCCACATAACTATCAAGGTGTGCCCGTCCAGTTCCCGTAACTACTAAAAACGTGTCACTGTTACTCACAACAAATGCCGGTTTCCCCATTAAACTCCATAACGACACTACTGATATCTGCCAAACTATTTGAGTTTTAAGCGTGGGATTTTTACAGCATGCACTTTTCGCGGAGCGCTGATAGATGGTGTTGTTAACTCAATTTCTCCCAATTTCGTATAGTGACGGTTTGATTATGAACGTGCGATATGTTTTATTAGCACACAGATAATGAGGTCAGTGAACCATTGATAAGCGTTTCGGTTGGATGATGTGTCTTTAGCAAAACAGTAGTAAAAAATCTAATTATAATACCCATAACTGTGTTTCTTTAGCTAATTAAAATACCTACAGCGATAAATACAGTTTATGACATTTTTATTACACCTATTTCATTAAACTGCCAGAGTAATATTCATTCAGAAAATTAGAAAATAATTTTATGTTCAGAAACATACTCAATGTATTCATAAAAGTATGTAGGTGTATATCACAAACAGGCTTCATTGTTCTCAAATTGAGCAATTGTTCTAATAGAAGCAACCTACATTGTAAAGGTAACATTGTCAGTTTATCTACCCTACATATTGCATGTGAGATAACTCACTAGATTACCATTAAAGAGGAAACTAGATTATTGGACCACAGATAACAATAGAGTAAAAATAGATTGGTCAATGACTTCCATGGTGGCTGTAACTTAATTAAGATTTGTCATGAAATAGGTACATAACTACAGTAATAATTATGTCATAATTTATTCAAATGGATAAATCTGAGTATGAATAATTTGAAATATGAAAGTAATTGTTTATTCAGATGTTCCATTTTAATCACTTCTTTCTGTCATTAAAATTTATAATATACTGATGCAATAATCCACACTTACTTAATTTAACACATTCTCTAGGATCTTAATCATAGATTTACTGCAAAGGGCACTGACTCAGGTATGTTCTTTTAGTACAAGAGTAGGTAACTTACCCAAGCCTCCTCTTGCTTTCTTCAGGAGACAGTTGGTCGAAGGTCTTGGCCTGGTCTTCTCCCAGAAAAGCGTCGTGGTCAAACTGCTTATTGTGGTGCTCATTCTTGAAGTGCTGTTCGTCGGACAAGTGATCCACTAGCCGCTTAGTCTCCTCCGGACTAGGTACGCCGGCGAAAACCGCTGACACCGCCAAAGCCACGAACAGCGTTCTCAGCATTTTATCTTAAAACAAGAACTCTAAATTTCAAGAACAAACCCTCAGAAAATCATGAACAAATAACTCAGTAAGATTCACAAACTTTCAGAATTTTCAGATACGTACTACTGTAAGTTGCCACGTCAACACAAAACCACAAAACACGTAAACTTCCTTCTTCCCGAAAAGATAAAACAGGAGATGCCGGAATCTGGAACATAGGATGACGTATGTTCAAATACTTAATTAATTTATAGTAGAAACTGAATCAAAATTGTTATTAATTATTAAAATAAAATTAAGATAGCTGATCTAGAAGATATTTTTTGTGTTTTTGTACTGTTTATTATTTCTTACAAATGTAATTCCGTATACTTGAAATATTTACCAAATAATTTTAATTTATTTCGGTGGGCTTGTTGTACAAATTATCCGGATTTTAGAACGAACTCGGCCGGATTTGACATTTCATTTGACAGATTTCAGTTTTTTTATGTTCCGAGCACAGATTAAACAGTATGTCTTCGTGGGTCATCACTAGCAGCTATCTAATCAATGAGGATCATTTCGATTTTTAGCTGTGAATGCAGATTTATAGGGTTAAGAAATCCTTAATACACAGTGCAAAAATTTTTGTTCTACGACAAAAATTGACGAAGTTATGGCCAAATTATTAAAAAAGTTCACTGACCGCCCGGCGCGGGGACGATGACGTCATTATATCCGATCCGAACGCTGCCGACGTACTGCGTGGATAGAAAATATTTTTTTCTAGCCAAATTATCAGTTTTAGAGAAAAACTTGTAATGACATTTATTCATCAGAATAAAGTAAGCTATCGATAGGTAATTTTTAAAAATGGAAATTGTGAAAAATAACGCAAAAAATCCATACGCTCATACGATTCAATGGCACGCAGAGACGCGATTGGGGTCTCCGCGGTGGTATATTTGGCGATTTATTCAAATAAAGTGTACATAAGTGTTGTTAGAGTCATATCTTCTTCCAAGTAAAATATAAAAATGTATAAGTATTAATTTATTTACTTCTAACAATAAGGTATAACTTCTAACAATAAGACATTGCTATGAAAATCATTTCGATGTACACTTAATAATACCTACCTGTTATTTAGTTTTTCTGAGTTAAACCTACGCACCTACCTATCTATTCGCCGTTCCCATGGGCGGGCCAGCTGCTGCAGGAAAGGACAGCCGCTCCGTGCTGGAAATCTATTTAATCTTAGCCTAGAAGCTGGGTATGACTCCCCCGCCCCTCTCTGGGTATGACTTGCCTCTCCTCCCCTCCCACCAAGGCCAGAAGCTGGGTAAGGCTTGTCCCTCCCCCCAGGCTATAAGCTGGGTATGACTTTTCCCCCCCCCCAGGCCAGAAACTGGGTATTAGCATCATATTATGTATTATTATGTTCAATACAAACAATCATTAAGTTACACTCACCCCAACCGCGTCTCCGCATTGCATCGAATCCTATGAAAATGTGGTTTTTGGACATAGCAATACTTATTTTTCACAATTTTTACTTTTAAAAATTACTGGTCGATAGGTTACTTTATTTTGAAGAATAAATGTGATTAAAAGTTTTTTTCTAAAACTGATAGTTTAGCCGGAAAAAAATATTTTCCATCCCAATAGTACGCCGATTGCGCTCGATTCGGATATAATGACGTCACGCGGCCTTGCGTACGTTGACTTTTAGCGGCAAAAACGGCCTATGTTTATTACTTAATATCTTCGTAAGTAATGGTCCGATTTGGATAATTCAAAAAGATATATCTTTCTTATGTCTTAAAGATTAACGTAGATACTAGTTTTATTGAATTTTCTACAACAGTACTGATCCTCATTAAGTAGATTTTTTATTTCAAAAATATGGTACACAATTTTACTGGATACATGTTCTGGTTAAACGGAACATTCAACATTAATTATAAATGTATGTATATAATTTTATACGACTTCAAAAAAAGGAGGAGGTTCTTGCAGCGTTATAATTGATTTATGCAAAAATTAAGGAATCATTATTGTTCACTCATTATGATGAATCGAGTCTCGTCTAACGGTCAGAGCCCCGATTACGGTAACTTTTATAACGTCTACAATCCAGACGCGTTTCTGATTCTGCGATACGATTGGTCAAAACAGCTGACGTACGCTGTTGAACGACCAATCGTATCGCAGAATCGAGAAGCGTGTCTGGATTGTTGACGTTAAAAATTACCGTAATCGGGGCTCTGACAGCGTCTAATCCATGAAGGTCTAATCCAAGCAAGAACAAAATCCAACTCAAAACTAATGACCACTTCTATGAAATCGATTAATCTACTCGATTGTATCCGGTAGTTCCTTTTTTTGCTTGACGTGACCGCCATCACTAGTCTATGGTCGACGACGTAAGGTTTCGGATGTTGTGCTTGCTAATTTTTGCTTGATTCCAAAGAAATTTACTATGATTCTTGAATTAAAAGTCTTGTCGGTGTAATAAATCGAAACTCTTGCAAAAGATTATTTATTCCGCTTACGAGTCGTTAAAAACTGATTGCAAATGTCAATATGTCAGGATCTCGGCCTTAATTTCCAGCAGAGAATGGTGAGAATTGCATGCTAATTCAGTATTCGCTGCTAATTGGAATTAAATAGTGTTCATAACTTTCCATACGAGTAATGAAGTAACAGTCACGATGTCTTGGAAGTCGTTTTGGAATATGATGGTGTGTAATCTTGTCGGCGATTTTAGCCATACATTTTTATGGTTGTGTTTTTAGTATCCTTTTTTATGTCTCTGACTATTTCAGGGCGCAAATATATCGCAGTTGGAAAGAGATATCGGGTCAGAGCAGTTCCCTCCAAATGAGCATTATTTTGGTTTAGTCAATGTATGTACATTTTTATAACCATAAATTAATTGGCGTCAATTTGTCCTGTAATAGAATAAATATTAATTATAGTTGGTGCTATTTGTTTTATAATTAGTAGGTTCCAATTAACATTATTAGTTTCTCTTTTTACTAATCTTGTTAGTGAGCAGTGAATAATAAATTATATTCTTCTTAATTTCTTACAAAGTCTTTTGCTTTTAGTTTGGCAACACATGCTATAGCAACTCGGTGCTTCAAGCCCTATACTTCTGTAGACCATTCCGAGAGAAGGTTCTGGAATACAAAGCTAAGAACAAGCGCACCAAGGAGACGTTGCTAACATGCCTGGCCGACCTGTTCTACAGTATTGCCACACAGAAGAAAAAAGTTGGCTCCATTGCTCCCAAGAAGTTTATTGCACGACTAAGAAAAGAAAAAGGTTTTTAGTTGTACTTTTTTTTATTTTCAGGTCTTTTACAATCTGTAGTTAGTTTAGAACTAAATTGACCATCAATAGAAAGTCTTCTACTTTCTTCAGCAACTCCATGGGAGAGGTCTTACACAATATAGTTCCAAAATACTGAACTGTCCTATCGATGACATTGACAGCGGGGCGCCACCGTCAATACCGAATCGCTGGTTCCGATTTTTGCCATGTTGGAAACCATAAAGTTGAACGTTGGTAGCGCCCCCCTGTCATTGAGTTTGGCGGGACAGTTCAACGTGGGTCATCTATACACTGAAGATTGGCCAATTTATGGCACATGCTATACTGACATAATATCAGATAATGTTTCTTAGAATTCGAAAACACGTCACATTTTTATCAATGAAATGTATCTGCTGTACTGCTTTGATCAACTACAGATAATATCTGTCAATGTTGCTATTTAGATTTGATATTTGTTTTTCCATACTACCTACGTGAATGATAAATTTTTGTTAGGTCTGTTAATATGTTGTAACTTTTTATTTTTCAGAGGAATTTGATAATTATATGCAGCAAGATGCCCATGAATTTTTGAACTTCCTTATAAATCATATTAATGAAATTATTCTAGGTAAGAGGGTCATTGTAATTATTATTATTATTAATAATTATTTATAGATCTACCTCTTATTACTGAAATTTATAAGTTACCTATTCAATGCTTCTGCAACTAGCTTTTAAAAACATTTTTTTTAGTCATTTCATTTGTTTATTTTAGCTGAAAGGAACCAGAGCACTTTGAAGGGACAGAAAACAGCAAACTCCACTGCGTCTACAATGTCCACAAGCATTGGCCCAGGGGAAACGGTGACTTGCAACGGCACCCTCCCTCAGAACACGGAGCCAACGTGGGTGCATGAGATATTCCAAGGGACGTTAACGAGCGAGACCCGTTGTCTGAACTGTGAGACTGTTAGCAGCAAGGATGAGCACTTCTTTGATTTGCAGGTGAGTTGGTTCAACTTTTTTATTAGTTTATATTATTTTCTACCGTTTTATTGTCTTCTTAAAGATATTGAGTTAAAAAAGATAGTGAGATAAAATTCACCAGTTAAATCCTAAATCTAGGCTCAGATGAAGTAAAACCTACCTACTGAACAAAAGACCCTATTTAAAGTTTTGCGAGACTAATTTTTACACAGCAAAGATCTTATAAGTTTGATGAACTAACCTAATTTTCATAGTCACCAAATAAAAAGTTTACTATGTTGTGCTGTGTACTATCCCTAAATAAATAAACAATGATTTGTCCTATAAACTTTCCTTATTTGACCACTTTAAACTTAAAGCTATTCATGTCAAATTAACCCATAAATACAAAAGTATTTTAAGGTTTTTCCTGTAATTAATAAATGCATTATTATAATTAACCATCTGATAAATGGAAATCCAATCTATTATTCTGATATTATTAGCCAACAAGATTATAATTAGAAACAGCCAGAACACAAAAGGAATTGTTGTATCATTTTGATATGAATATAAAGCCCGGTTTCCACTAAGGAGTGGAGAAGTGTTAGGCGAACGAATTTTTCCATAGAAAATGACAACGGCGGCGGTGCGGCGCAGAGCGGAGAAGAGACGTGGAAAATGGAAATAATGTAATCTGAGGTGGAATTGTGTAAAGCAATCGCATTCATTTTACAGTTCATAACGTACGATAAAGTCAGTTTTTTTTTTTATATGATAGGAGGCAAACGGGCAGACGGATCACCTGATGGTAAGTGATTACCGTCGCCCATAGACACCCGCAGACCCAGGGGCGTTACAGGTGCGTTGCCGGCCTTTAAGATAAAGATACGCTAAACAAAGTGTTTGACAGATTAATCGTACGTTATGAACTGTCAAATGATAACGATTGCTTTACACAATTCCACCTCTAATTGGTTATTCTAAACACTTCTCTGCTCTGCTTCGTCTTGATGGAAACCGGGAGTAAACCAGCTGTTTTAAATCATCATCATCTCAGCCAGAACATCCACTGCTGAACATAGGCCTCCCCCAATACTTGCCATGTTACCCGGTTGGTAGCGGCCTGCGTCCAGCGTCTTCCTGCTACCTTTATGATGTCGTCGGTCCACCTTGTGGGTGGACGTCCCACGACGCGTTTTCCGGTACGGGCTCGACACTCCAGAACCTTGCTGCCCCATCGGCCGTCAGTTCTGCGTACTATGTGCCCTGTCCATTGCCAATTCAGCTTGCTAATCCGTCGGGCTATGTCAGCGACTTTAGTTCGAATTTTTTTTTTATCCACGAGGTAGCTCTTGGCCTGTATCTCACCTGATGGTAAGTGACGATCAGGCCGAAGATGGTTTACGGAGTCTTAGAAAGTTTCAAAAATAAGCTAAGTTTTAGCTCAGTAAATTATTATGGCTGCTATACTGCACTTCCATATTTCCAGGTGGACGTAGGCCAAAACACGAGCATCACCCACTGCCTCAAATGCTTCAGCGACACAGAGACTCTCTGCAACGACAACAAATTCAAGTGCGACCATTGCAGCAGCTACCAGGAGGCACAGAAACGCATGCGAGTCAAGAAACTCCCGCTTATATTGGCACTGCACCTGAAAAGATTCAAGTATATGGAGCAGTACAATAGGCACATCAAAGTGTCGCATCGGGTTGTGTTTCCGCTGGAATTGAGACTGTTTAACACTGTAAGTACATTATCATTTACTATGCTATAGATGCAGGGAATAGTTGACAAGTTTACTCAAATCACTGTCCATTGTCAATGTTTTTCTTTCATTCTGAAACTGTATGTATCTGTATTCTGAACCTTTTCAAGGCGAGAGTTAATAGTTAATAGGCACTTACAGGGCAGATATGTATCATCCTAGACCCACTTAACACCAGGTGCGATTGTGGTCAAATACATGCCTTATTATTCATTAAAAAAATCCATCCATGAAATTAGTTTAAGTTAGTTGCCGCTAGATGGCATTGTTCTTTTTTTGTGTAAAAAGCTGTACCGCGGTGTCCACTCCTCTAGCGTGAATATCAGTGCATCAACGCCCCCTGCAGTAAAATCTTTTTGAGATTATACATTTTGATTTATTTATCAATCTCGAAAGATAGCAGTGAGTGGATAAAGATCGCATTCACCTGTCAAATCTGTTTTGACAACAAACACAAGATTGATATCAAAGCCTTTGCCCTTTATGCATAGGAGGCTGACAAAGGTGACTTTCTTCCACCACCTCTTCTTTCAGTCACTATGCTGCCAGTGGTGGTGGGTTAAGTTAAAAAAAAAGGCAGAATTATTGCAAGTTCAAGGGCATAAGCAATATCATGTTGGCCCTGATAAGGTCATAGCGCACTTATCAACCCGGGAAGGGATCACCATATCTCCTTTGAACGCGAGGCGAGGCGTTTACGTTACGGTGAGGATAAGTGTGTACAAAGAATCCTGCTCGCCGCGGTTACCGCTAAGTAACCGTATCAACTCGACGTCGGTTGATAAGTACGCTGCGGAAAAATGTCCAAGACTAGCCCACACGAAGTACCTATGGACGACGCACGCGAGGAGGAAGGAGAAGTTAACCGAGATGGTGTTCACATGCCCACCAGCCCCCTTCCATCATCGGGGAACCAGACGCAGGTTAGCGTACTATCCCTATATTGTTGACATTCCACCAGCTCGCACTAAGCGTTTCGATGACTCTTTTATAATGCGAACAGCTAGGGACTGGAATTCGTTGCCTGCTGCTGTCTTTCCCGAAAACTATAATCCGGGCCTCTTCAAGGCGAGAGTGAATAGGCACTTACAGGGCAGATATGTACCATCCTAGACTGCATCCCACTTAACATCAGGTGCGATTGTGGTCAAATACCTGCCTTGTGCATAAAAAAAAACATTACGTCTTGGCCAATTTCCTGCATAGTGAACTCGCGGTGCCGCCATTTTTTTTTTTAATTTTAAAGATTATTAGTAATTTGTTATTGTACACAAATTACTAATACTCCCGTTAGCGCCCCTCGTAGTAAGCTAAATATGCTTGTGTCACGAGTGAGCTCACCACAATAGTCGAACGGCGGCGGGGACCGAACCCGCGTTCCTCGGATCACGAGTCGGCCGGTCCGACCCCTTTACCGTTCGGCTATCGTGGCTTCTGCATTACGAATCGTTTGTGGGTTGATAAGTGTGCTTCGTCCTTTATGGTCATCTATTTGATTTGTGTTAGTATTTTCTGACTGATTTGGGAGAGGCCTATGTTCAGCAGTGGACGTCCTGTGGCTGAAATGATGATGGTGATGATAGTATTTTCAGCACTCCTTCCTTCCTTCCTTTCAGCCAAATGACGTCCACTGCTGGACAAAGGCCTCCTCCAAGGTTTTCCACAATGAACGGTCCTGCGCTGCCCGCATCCAGGCTCTTCCCGCGACCTTTACCAGATCGTCGGTCCACCTAGTAGGAGGCCTGCCCACGCTACGTCTTCCAGCCCGTGGTCGCCACTCGAGAACTTTTCTGCCCCAACGGCCATCGTCTCTACGAGCTATGTGCCCCGCCCACTGCCACTTGATTTTAGCAATTCTGCGAGCTATGTCGGTTACTTTGGTTCTCCTGCGGATCTCCTCATTTCTGATTCGATCACGCAGGGAAACTCCGAGCATAGCTTCGTCCTTTATGGTCATCTATTTAATTTGCGTTAGTATTAACACTTACCGCATCTTAATCTGACGGTTACCAATTTATAGGCGTTCCCTTTGCAGTCGGACGACGCCGTGAACCCGGACCGCCTGTATGACCTGGTGGCGGTGGTGGTGCACTGTGGCTCGGGACCCAACCGCGGCCACTACATCAGCATCGTCAAGAGCCACGGCTTCTGGCTGCTGTTCGACGACGATATGGTCGATGTGAGTACACTATACCAGGGTTTCCCAATTTTTTTTTTGCCAAGGAACCCTAATTGATTATACTCTTCCTAGCGGAACCCCCGTACTACTCCGCCCGCACGCCCTGCCCCTCCCTTGTGCGTAAACAAGTCGGTGCGAGCGAACAACGGTCACGAAACTTGGGATAATATTTTTTACGGAACCCTTGCGGCCTTTCCACGGAACCCCAGGGTTCCATTTGCACGTAGAATTTTGTCCAATGACCCCAAGCTACCCATCCTCACTCGGCTCGCACACTCACTGCGGGCGCCCGTCGCACAGTCGCGACAGCAATATAATTACGCGCGAGCTATAAGGATGGGTAGCTTGGGGTCATTGGACAAAATTCTACGTGCTCACGGACCGGGCTTTAGTAGTAAAGTGGATGACTCTGGAGTCATCCGCTTTGCAATGGAGGGTAGTCGAACCTTAATTTCGAACTCCTATGTTCTTCTGATTAATTTCGTTGCGAGTCCAACCAAGTCGAGTTTAACTTTTCCCCTGGACAAACTTGACCTTTATTGGTTGGGTTTTTATGGCGATCAAGCTGTAGATCCTGGCTACAAAGAAGTTACAGTGGTGGGAATAGTCCCGTTTCTTATAGTAGTAAAGTCCGGTCGCCGAACGCGTAAAATTTCGTCCAATGACCACAAGCTACCCGTCGCGACTGTGCGACGGGCGCCCGCAGTGAGTGTGCGAACGCGACAGCAATATAATTACGCGCGAGCGAGAAGGATGGGTAGCTTGGGGTCATTGGACGCAATTCTACGTGTTCGGCGACCAGACTCTAGTAAGCCCACAAGGTGGACCGACATCATAAAGGTGAAAGGTGGAATGCAGGCCGCTACCAACCGGTCAATATGGAAGTCATTGGGGCAGGCCTATCTTCAGCAGTGGATGACCTACGGCTGAAATTAAATTAAGTACACTATACACGGCGCAGACTCGTGCCAGACGAGGCAATAATAAAACAGGGCATGTCTCGTATTCTCTCACACTTAAACTGCAGCACTGGTTAAGGATGACGTCACTTTTTTTAGCATCAGTGTGTGCGGTCTCGCTATCTAACGCGTTATTTTGATAGAGCCCTAAGTTTTACTCTTGTTATTTCAGACAATGAATTGTATTAATATTCACACTTATCTTTTTACAGAAAATCGACGCCTCTGCGATAGAAGACTTCTACGGCCTAACTTCAGATATACAGAAATCGTCTGAAACGGGGTATATACTATTTTACCAATCAAGGGATGCTAGTTGTTAAGTTTCTTCATTAATTATTATAAAAATAGTAATTTATATTATTTATAAGATAGTCACTATGATAGATCATGTTAAATAAATGCCGCGTTTGTTAAAGTTGGAAAGGCATAAAATATTATTGAAAAATTGTTTAATTCATTATTATTCAACTTCTAGAATTCAGTCAATTGTAAATAAGAAAATATTTCTTTTCAAAATAAACCGTTGTGATCTTTCTCGGATTTTGTATTTTATTGCACTTCCCATTTAGATAAAATTAGAAGCTATCCCAATTAAATACCTACTGAAAGCTTGAATATAGGATATAGCAAGCAAATGAAATAAAATAAACAGGGTATACTTAAAAATAGTTTATTCCTGTCATTAAGCTACGAATTCGTATGGGATCGGCGCCAATAACACTGGTTTCTCCTGTCCGCTGACGATGTGGGCGGCCTTAGGTGGAGCAGGCTGTCTCTTCAGGTTGATGACCTTAAAAATAAAATAAAATTATTAACGAATAATACTTGAATAAAATCAACAATTAAATAAATCAAACCCAATACCTTATAGCCCTAATTAATATATTTTGCAAATCTACTTTTGGACTTGACTAATATTGCTTAACTTGATTTTTCATAGTTTAAATAAAATTGTGATTATTTAGTAGATCTTCTCTCTTCTAATTGCAGTGACCGACAGAGTACACAATGATTGTGACAATGATCTGTTTAGCTAAAGCCTAGGTCACATTAGTTAGTTTATTCTCAGCACTTGCCATATGTTTGTATCAGAACGAAACCCAAAAGATACATGTAAAGTGCCCCTTAAGGACTACCTTTATTTACTGTATTTTGAGGTCCATAAGTGCCACTATTGATCAAAATTGAATAAAATATTTTTTATTTTATGGTGATACAAATAAAGACCTGGTGGAGGCCACGTACCGGAAAGCGCAGCGTAGGACGTCCACCCTCAAAATGGACCGACAATCTCATAAAGGTAGCGGGAAGGCGCTGGAAGCAGCCCGCCACCAACCGGCCATTGTGGAAATCATTGGGGGAGGCCTATGTTCAGCAGTGGAAGTCCCAGAATAATAATAAGTACTACGTACAGAAGTTTTACTTCGCAAAGGTATTTAAAAAAATGTATGCTCAATGTCATTAACAATATGGTGTTTAGATGACCCACGCTGAACTGTCCCATCAAACTCAAAGACAGGGGGCCGCTACCATCGTTCAACTATATGGTTTCCAACATGGCAAAAATCGGAATCAGCGATGCGGTATTGACGGTGGCGCCCCACTGTCAATGTCATGGATAGGACAGTTCAGTATTTTGGAACTATAATTTAGCCTGTCTCAAGAGTCAAGCACCATTTTGTTGACAAACGTCAGTGATCGGCACTGCGCCGAAGCTATAGGGCTGACCTCGGTAAAATGATGTGACGTGAGGTGCCAAACTGCGGAAAACAGTATTTAGTACACCATTTTCTTTATTTTCTTCCATCATACACAAGAATACGCGTGCGTGAGTCAATGTTCGCTCGTATGTGAGGCCTTGTCGAATAGTATCCTGTAGGTGGGCCATCGTGCGTGTTTTGTTTTCGATGTAAACTCGCGGAGATGAACAGGCCTGGTCCTATGGCTGAAATGATGATGAAATAAATATCAATCTACCTTGCCAGCGGCCTTGGCTTCCTTCAACAGTCTCTCGTTTTCCTTGACGCGCTTGAGGAAGTCCTCTCTGCACTTGGAGTGTTTCACGTGCTCAATGCGGATGTTGATGCGCTTAGGGATGATCCTTCCGCGCACCCGCTTGTTGACGATCACGCCAAGCGCGTGCGCTGTGACGTTATACACGCGGCCTGTCTTGCCATGGTACACTTTGTGTGGCATACCCTTCTGGACTGCACCATTGCCCTGAAATTAAGAGGAAGGTGAGTAAATATATGATTGGGCTGACGGACAATGAAGACCATTTGAAGACACGATAGCCGAATGGAGAAGGGGTCAGACTGGCTCATGATCCAGGGAACGCGTGTTCGGTCCCCGCCACCGCTCGACTATTGTGGTGAGCTCACTCGTGATACAAGCATATTTAGCTTAGGGGTCCATATTGGCTCACCTAAAGTTATTTACCCGAAATTGGTCTTCCTAACGATTTTAAATCCGAATGATCACTCTTCCTAAAATTTTTCATCCTAAAGTTTTCATTCATACTATTTGTAGTGCTACCTGCGATGTTCATAACACTCATGTTTCCGAAAATTGTAATTAATAATATCATTTATGTAAATATATTTAAACTCCTACTGTTTTTTATCATAACACTTTTATCCCTAAACATTACCATAATATTTTCACTCATACCATAGTTCGTTCGTTCGTTTCAGCCGAAAGACGTCCACTGCTGGACAAAGGCCTCCCCCAAGGATTTCCACAAAGACCGGTCCTGCGCCGCTTGCATCCGGGTACTTCCCGCGACCTTCACCAGATCGTCGGTCCACCTAGTGGGAGGCCTGCCCACGCTACGTCTTCCAGCTCGTGGTCGCCACTCAAGAACTTTTCTGCCCCAGCGGCCATCATCTCTTCGAGCTATGTGCCCCGCCCACTGCCACTTGATTTTAGCGATTCTGCGGGCTATGTCAGTCACTCTGGTTCTCCGGTCACAGTTCTAACCTAACCTAAACCAATAGTTATGAATAGGACCGATTCGTTTCTGGAATTTGACTGAATGACTGGAGCGGGACTCAAGTATACGTGCTAATGCCAACAAACTTGAACTTTAATATATCGTCAAAGAAAGAAATCTAAACAAAAAAGATATGACTTTGAATAATAGTGTAAAATATGGTTATGTTTAGAAAATCTAGGAGAACAAATAAAAGTATAATAGATGTTTATTGCTAATGACATTATGAAGTTGAATGATTCGGAATTATGAACATTAGAGACAGAGTAGTTAGGAATTGTGATTGTTAGGATGAAAAATTTTAGGAAAAACATTTTCGGACTTCCAATTTTCGGAGTTGAAAATTTAGGTGAACTTTGGCGCACCCTTAGCTTAGTACGAGGGGCTAATCTTTAATACTATTATACATATGAACCTATGTTCATGACTAAGATACTGCCTTTATTACATCCAAAAGATTAGTGTTACCCAAGATTGATAGAAATAAATCCATAAAATACTTTAATAATTCAAATTAAATTAAGGTTTCAAATACTGTAGGCAGGGCTTCACAAACTGTGTCGTCCTGGAGAGTCTAGGAATTATCCCCAGGTCGTCGTGAGTTGATCAAAAATAAATGTAGAGAAAGAGATGAGACTTGAGCCCCATTTCGAGAAGCTATGGCAAAGCAAGCACATCTTTCTCATCAGTAGCCATTTAACAAAATATAGTCGAATCCGATTATAACGACGCTCAAGGGACTGATGATATAACCCCTTACTAATAAAACTCACACGCTCGTTGAACAGTGTTTTAAAGTGATGTTTAGTATGGAAATGTCATTTTAAAACAGTGTTCAACAACTGTGTAACTTTTTATTAGTAAGGGGGTTAATGTCATAGTAAAGAAGTATTTTTTTACATTATTACTCAACAAATGAACCAACCAAATCAATAAAAGCTTGCACTTGTGCTGTGTACTATAATCTTTTTCACCTAAGATGATCCGTATGACGTTTCGAGTTTGAAAGATTTAGAGATGTCACATAACTAAACCATAGCGATTTATGTATCGATTTTTTTCGAAGAGTTAGTAAAACCTACTTTTAGAGAATTATTTTGTATAGGTGTTATTTAACAAAAAACATGTTTTTTTTAATTACAAATATTATTGTAACAATTTTTTATTGATAACATTCAAACTTCATGGTTCGTGTTAAAAAACGATTCCTAAAAAGTATTGGTTCTGTTTCTTTAAATTAAAAACTATTAATTTATTTTCAATACGTTTATTAAAGTCAATAATCGAAAAATATACTTGATTTTTGTGATGATTTTAATAACTAAGTATTCACTGCAATCGATTAATGAACCGTGGAAATAATAGATTTAATTTAACAAGAAATACCCCAGCACTAAATCTATTCCGTTTCACACATTGCGTACATTAAATAAAAAATATTTTTACATCGTATTTAATTAAAATATAATCAATAGCCTCAGATTTTACTATATATTTCAATACAAGTATTTTTTTTTTATTATATTGCTAATAAAATACAAATATTAAAAAAAAAAAATCTGCATATGTAGTATGCGTAATATGGATAACTTTGAAGTGTCATACGGATCATCTTACGTGAAAAAGACTATAATAATGGATTCTACTGTAAAATATACATCTTATTATTTAACTTTCACTACTGTGTTGTTTTATTATTATTTTCTAGTAAAAATTAATAAATGAAAATAAAATAAAATTCCATAAATGGCAAATTCCTAAGTGTCACAGTAAAAAAAGTTTGGGAAGCCCTACTGTAAGGGTGATTTGTTATTTGATAATAATATTAAACATTTTGTTTTATAATTAAAACAAAATGTTTAAACTGAAAATTCCATAACAAAATGCATATACAAATTGCGAAATAAAATTAAAACAAAGTGAAATATCAATCAGATATGTTTGAAGTATTAAATAAATAAATAATAAATAAATAAATCTTTGGACAATTTCACACAGCGCCAGCTAGCCCCAAAGTAAGCAACTTAATGCTTGTGTTATGGGTGCTAGCTTAACGGATATACTACTTATATACTTTTTTTTTTTAAATACATAAATATTATACATAGTCACACCCAGACCCGTCACAGAAATTAAAATTCATCATTTCAATTTCTGCCCGGCCGGGAATCGAACCCGGGACCTCTCGGCATAGTAGTCCGTTCTGAACCACTACACCAAACGGCAGATTAAATAGTATAATAATTAAATAGATAATTTTGCAAGTTTCAATCATGAATAATAACGTGTGAATACTAAGAATACAATCAGTTACATCAAAAATGCCTCTCCGTCCAATGCTAAACATGTTAGAAAGTGCAATAGCGTAGTTTAATAGAGAAGTATGAGTCTGAGAGTTCCCTAATCCTAACTGATTCCTCCTGCTGCTGTATTTCCTGAACACTATAATCCGGGAGTTTTCAAGGCGAGAGTGAATAGGTACTTACAGGGCAGATATGTACCATCCCAGACTGC